AAAAAAAAAAAAAAAAAAAAAAAAACACTTACCTAACCTTACCTCGGAAATTCCGCAAAACGCACAAAAGAGACGAGAGACGTTAATCGTCGCTGGTATCGCCTATGGTTTCCTTGCCAACTACGAAAGAGCTCTCTCTCTCTCTCTCGCACGCACTATAGCGTACACCCAACCGAAACTGTATTCCTTCGTCCCACCTAAAGCAGACGCGATGCTTAAATCAACCGCAAAGTGTTTACGCAGATGTAATAAACGACAACGACATCTGTTCACCGGCCGCTTTATAAATCAGTTAACGAGCAGAGACTATGGCGTTAGACACGCGATCATTAAAGACGCGTCCTTTCGGCTTTCACGTGAGCCGCAATAAAGTCTGATTAAGTCCAGAACATCAGCCAAGCCTTTAAAAAGTGTTAGAGTCGCCTGATGCCCATATAGTAATACTGACTGGACCAGTAAAGGATGATGCTGTCTAGGTTACCCGAAGGAGGGACAATGAGGCGTCGTCCTGACATGATTCATAGGTTTTGCGGTAAGAATCTGAGAGAGACGGAATCAATAACAAGAGTGACGAAGGAGCAACGCGTGAGAAGGGATGCGAGTCTCCGTTCCCTGCTGGCAGCCACAGAGCCACCGGTGTTCACCCGTTCGCACTCCGTTCGTACAGTCGAGTTTCGCCGTGCCATTTGTTTCAATCTATGGACAGGGCTAATTACGAAGCACCGTAACACTCGGAGTGTTCGGACTCTCCGCTGCTGCTACGCTCTCCTCTTGTTCCTCGGGCAACAGTTTGCCCTGGCCAGCCAGTGACGTTGCCGCTCGCGTTGCCGGTGCGTCCCTGTCAGACTACATGGAGACAAACGAGCGACCGGCAATCAACCGCTGTTAGCCCATCCGACCTTTCGCGACCACATCTGACCGTTCCTTTTTGCCCGCCGCTTCATCATAATTTATTGTGACACTGTCACGTTAATAACTCTATTTATTTCACTGAAGAACCTATTATTTTTATGCTCACCGGAGACACGTTACAACTGCTTGAGGTATTTACGAATACTCGTTGTCTTTTATTATTACGTTTATACATGCCCATTTTCCACTGGCTTGTGTATCATGCTTTTGAAGATTCAAAAGTACAAGGTGTAGCACTACTTAGTTTTATATATATATATATATATATATACTTTGAAAGTTCCAATTCATCACGTCGAAGCGAATATTATACCTACGTGGATCGAGCTGCGGTTACGGAGTGCGTAACCAGTCAGGGCGAGACGTTATGGTCGTAATTGCCTTATCCCATATTTCTCTCGCCGTGCAATTCCTCCCTGTCGAATCACCGTCAATTAGAGATTGACTTTTAAAATTTGAAGCTACGCCGTACGTGCCGCGCATTATCGAATCGGCAATTGACTGAAGTACGAGGAGCCGTCGTGTACGGCGGTTCGTAAAGTATTCGAACGGTTACTTAAATATTTTTATTTTATATTCTTCATACACTTTTACAAGCTCCGTAGAAAAAGTTATCTGGATCGTGGCTCACTCGGTATAGCAAAGTCATCGACGGCATCTTGGCTGGCTGCGCGCGCACAGATTCCAGCCCGCAGCGATGAATGGAGACGTATGACTTTTTTTAACACACACTAATTTACAAGTTATCCATCTCTATTTTCTTCTCTCGTTCTCTCTATATCCTCCCTCGCTCTCTCTCTCTCTTCTTTACTCCTTCAAAGCGTTTCGTATCTAGCCGTTCCCATAATAATCGAAGTCACATTTGTAAAACATCTCGAGTGCCGCTACAGAACGCGGCGCCTTTCCAGTCGTTTCTATTGCGTCTCTATTGCGTCACGAAGCTCATTAAGCTTTTATTATTCTCCATGAAATATGGCACTTATCCCTCGGCTTTCACTAGACTACGTGACTCGGTAATCACGTGACAACGAATACGCGACGAATCTTTGATTGAAATCCGAGCTAACGTATCCTTTAATTTTATTTTTCGTCTAATCCATCCATACCGATCGTAATCCCACGTATAATTATCAAGGGCAATAAAAACCATAAAATATAATAAACCAAAGTATAACGAATTGATAAAACGCACCTTTAGGTGGCTCAGACGGATCTCTAGCATGTCTCTTGTTTTGAAAGGACGGCCATATTGGAATGCTCAAGTTTATCGGTATGTAAAGGACGTCCAACGACGAACGTACACTCGGCGTCTTCATGGACGCTACGTCGCAGTACTCGCGGACACATCAAAGACTTTTTATTCAGTCACTCGTCACGCCTCGTCAACGTGTCTCCCTGATTCCGGGCCCAGGATGTCGCGACGTTGAAAACTTCGACTGGGTACGCACGAATCTGCCTTAATTGCAGCAGCACACAAGACCCCGCTTGAAAAGCCGCCATTGCGGGACACGTACTACAAGCGCCTAAGTAACTAACCGTGGATACGCGTTGGCGTAAGTATCCGACCGAGGGCAGCACTGCCGGCAAGCGTATTTAACAGCACGAAAGCACCTAAGGGCAAGAGTTTCCCTTTGATCGCTCACTTTAGTAACCGCCAATGAGCCATCCTGTTTCCTGTTCTTGTGCTTCTACATATTCCGAAAACGTGAGAGCATTAGAGGCAGACAAGCGAGAAGCCTAATTAGGCGGCGCTCGATATTTGCATACGGGCAAACTGTGTCAGCCTGACAAAGAGGACGAAAAGGGTAACCTCAACATTTTCAACAAAACCGTGACAGCGTATACCGGAAATTTCATTCTGACATAACCTAAGTGCTCGCTCGACGTAATATGCGATCGATGCGTGCAAATGTCGATAGTCACAGGAGCGTTTTAGGTAACGTATTAATAAGGGACTGGTTATCTTAATTGGCTCGCCAATGCCACGACCCCTTTGCTTGCGGTCGATTGGTGACAGGTGCAAATAGGAAAAGCCTCAGAGGCCAATTACCTAATCGCTCCTAATAATGCATTAATTACGACCTCGTATTACGCGAGTCTAATGCAAAAGGTATTGCTTCCACTATTTATATTTTTTACGTAATACCTATTGCTGTCAATTATCATAAACTCTTTTTTTTTAGCATGGGCCACGTCGCCTGTATAACACCACTGGATCCGTGTCACTTATTTCATTAACGTCAAATTGAGTTATGTAAGTTATAGAAAGCATTAAGTGGCGGCCCGTAAGCGGACAAAGTGCTTCCGAGTAACGGGTCACGAACATTGGCCCCATTGAATTCCTGGTAGGAAGGAAATGGCGATCCTGTCCTCTGGGAGTTAAAGTTCAGTAGGATCGTTTATACGATACTCATCCTCGACTTCCTAATTAACGACTATCGCGTTTATTAAGACACGGGGCAGTTGCTTACACGTATATATACGAATCTATCTGTAAAGTCAAAACGCATTCGAAATTTCTGTACCAGGTCCAACGTCCTCAGACTCTACTCGCACATGCTCCGCAAGCTCGGAACGACTTCCTTGGCGAAATTCAAAGCTGGCAAGCAAATGAGATGCCGAAGACATCCTGGTTCATTAAGACCACAGCCAATCCTTCCTGATTCCTTGCACTAAGATGGTAAAACGACAAGATAAGGACTTGGAACGCTTGCGGTAGTGATGGCGATGGGTATATGTATGTTTGTATATATAGTCAGGTCTGATCTCTATTCTACCGGATATACGGGCTGCTGCGATAACGCAGTAGAGATAGCTCCGGGTTAAACCTCCTCCTGCCCCTGATTCTCTCCACAGGCACCATCTCCTCCTCAAACTCGACTTCCACCTTAAGGATCCCATCCTCCAGCTCTCTTACTTAGGAACTCCTTGCCTCCTTATCACCAGTCAGGGCTATAACCAGCCGAAGTTTCCTCATCAATGTCCCATCCGTACAGCGTCTGCAACTTCCTGGCCCATTGAGTATCTCATTATACGGGTTTTGACAGGGACATTTTACTTGTAAATTGTACCTCGTTCCAGCGAACACTCTCTATACTGATACGGGTTATATACAGAGAGAGAGAGAGAGAGAGAGAGAGAGCTGAAGCAATTTTTTTGGATCCGTTCCTGATATCGCAACTAGATCTCAGAAGATTGATCGGTGCGTCACGAGTGCCTAATACCGATTGAATTAACTGAAAACGTGAGCCTGGCAGGGATTGGTTGTTGCGTCAAGAATAAAAGAAAAGTGGACAAGGAAAAAGCATTTCGTGACTTTCGTGAGTCGAGGAAGAAAAATTCATTGTCGTTTGGCGGGTGTTGCGAGGTATGCGAGTCTTACGAGCCGCTCAACCGGCAAGCCGTCTCGCGTCATTAATCAAGCGAGCCTCGCGGCAACGTAGTTGGCAACACTGGCTAAGACACCGGCACAAGATTTTCGCAAGGAGGTTTACCTTCGGCTTATCGACCCCCTAAAAACATTAATTGTCATTAATAGACGAGCACTGTCTTCCATCTTGGCCACGAGGCAGACAGCTCAGACAGAGAGGCGCATTAACGTATAGCCGTGTAGCGCGAGATCTTCCTAGCTGGCTCCGTTACACCAATCACAATTACTCTGTCGGCTCCTTTGTAGTTGCCTAGATTGAGAGATAACCCGCTCGTTCATGCTCACTCCAATAATTTAACGTAATTACCGAGCTGGCATGCTGGTAGGTAGGCTGATACGTTTAATCCTTTAACGCTACGGGGTTACGACATTACGAACCTCCAGCATCCACCTTGGACTCGAAGTCAAGGGTTACTTTCGTTATTGAGTCGTATACAGGAGGATTCACCGAGACTCGCTCTTCCCAGCTTCACAGGACCGGTTCGACCTTAAGAAACTCCCATAAAGATAACCAACTGCTCCTTCTTGACCAGAGACAATTTCTTAGGCTCCATCCACGTAACGACCAGGAGCAACGACACGTCCCTGGGTCCCTGACCAGGTCGGAGGATCCTTGCCAAAGGAATGTACATTCCTCGACTCCACCGACCCTGACCCACATACCTATCAGACCCGGTACGTCGGATACTCGAGCAATCGGCAGGTGCCAATGGGTCTACCGTGATGATCAAGATCTCTCGAGCACTCGCGATCGGTACTAACGATCACTCGGATGATCTTGCAGACACAGAAGTCAACGCCCATCGTCTCGGACACACACAGCGACCTGTGGGTCAAATAACAGGGCGCGCTCAGATCGACATTAATCACTATCCAAAGCTAGTAGATAGCCGTCGAATGTTCGCTTTCTAAAGGAAGGTGAAGGGATGGCTGATAGATGGAGGTGATGAATGGCTCCGCGAGGTCGGGTGATCCATCATCTACGTCGACATCACGGGAGCTGCCTACCGCGAGTCCAGGCAAGAGAGATTTCGCGCGAGAGGTCGCCTCAGCTAATTCATCATCCGGACCCGTCTCCCGCGTCTCCCGCGTCTCCCTCTTCCGACGTCTCTCCGAGCCGCCGCTCTCTTCGGGACGTCAGGGATACCGACTAGCAGCGTCGCGACGCCCGCCACCCGATCGCTTCCTCGACACGGACCATCCTTCGAAGACCTGGCTTCTCGTCCGTCCTTGGCTACTGATCGATGAACCCTTACCAAACTCATATGGAAAAACTAACAGTCTCGCCTTACCGGCTTCAAAGGAACTGTCCGTCAACCGGAACAAGTACCATCGTAGAGGCTTTGAGTAGTCGCTGACATCTGCGTACACTGAAGAAACTGAATTAATATTCTCGTAAGCGATATCCACCACGTTCATCTACCGTGAATTAATCTTGTCTCCTACCAAGCGTCTTCGGCATTGCCAATTCTCTCCCGACTGAAAAACACTGTACGATATACACTCCGAGTGCCAAAGAGATCCGTATCATTGTTACTCCTGAAAACGAAATCCATCGAGCCACTCTTGTAATTCATATCGCATCACACGTATTTACACGTAACACGCAGAGTGTCAATGTCGAATGAAAAGCACGATAAGATTAATGATAATATCAATGCAGCATCCAAGTAGGCAAAAGATCAACAGTAGGAAGCCTATTCTACCGAAGCACGTATAAATCCGTATTGTAAATAAAGATTATTTTTTCGTAATCAATTTTTAAAATTATATACCTCAATCCACTCTCAGCTTCCCATTGGCGTCGCTCTCACGATCCTGGTACCGAAACAGTGATGAAAGAACTTTTTTTTTTTTGTTTGTGGTTAACCTATCGATTTCATCCTTCGCAATTTCATCTCCAGGGGATCGTAGTCTATGGATGAGTTATAGTTACTCTTTGCTGTCGCGTATTCATCAGTGATGTATGACTCGACAGGAGATCCTAGGTGGAAGACCGGGGCACGATGTACGGCCTGTTAATAACAGCAAGAATGAACGAACGGCTGCACAACGTAGTACACAGATGCCACTGGCGGCCAGAGGCCCCTTTGTGTTTTATTACAAACGATACGTCAGCCCACGATGTATGGGCTGCTTTTATCTGCGGCCTGTTATTGATGTGCTACATTGTCTGCGCTGACTCGCAAGAGTGGGTTGGATGTGCCCGATAGACGTCGCTCAGGGACGTGCCTACTCCTGGCCGTGCCAGGTGACAAGCCGACAAGTGACAAGTATCGCTACGACATTTTCCACGATGATTTCTCATTTACTCAACGACGGATCGATCGGGTCACGGCGGCCTCTCTACAGGGGCTACTCGAATATGTCCAGGAACGTGTATAAAAAAATATATAGAAATATTTTTTAATCGAGATACTGGAAAATCATAATGGTCACGAGTAAGCTATGAAATTAGCATCTATAGAAATCAGCGAGGCTCCGTATACAATCGGGCAATGTCCTGCTACGTGCAATTACCATGTATATCCTTTGGATCGGATCCTCGGTATTGCCGCTGGGGAATGGATAATACTCCGTGCACATGGATAGGAGTCAACACCTGCTGCCTAATGGGATATAAATTATCCTCTTGAGGTTCCGCGAGTGGTATGCATCACGTTTTAATTTCATTGCTGGAGATTATCATTTTTATAGACTTTTTTTTTTATTAAGGGGGCTGCATGCTACGAACTCCCTTGTTTATGGGGTAGGGTTGAGTGTCTTGGTTATTGCTGGTTCTATGGATTTTAATACTTTCTCGGATACCGAGGATCATATTCAGCAATGTAAAAAGGAAAAAAGTCAATGGCAGATTGCTGCATGGGATGTATATATGTATGTATTATATCAGTAGATACAGTGCTGGCTGGTACTAGGCATTCGTAAAGCAAGCCATTTAACGCTCACGTGTATAATTCATAGGGTAACCGGTGCGACTGCAAAGTGGGTACTGGAGGTTATTGTATGCAAATACATAAGAATAAACTTTGAAAATCCAAGTAGATTGACGCATAAGACGAAGAAACAGTATCGACCAGCAGTTAAGAAAGTCACTAGACCGATACGCTGTACAGCGAGTGCGTCCAGCGCGCCAGCTAATTGAGACTCAGCGATGGCTCGAAATAGCCGAAATTCCAATCCGAAGAACGGCAGAGCGAAATATGGGAAGCCATTAATCCTCACGTAAAATCACCGAATATTTCACTCTGCCGTGCCGGCCGAGTCGCGACAGCAATGCCGGCAGAGTAGTAGGAGGAACGGTAGTACCAGAGAACTAGGCATCGGTGGTAGCAGCGACGCTGCCAGTGGCGTCGGCGTCGGCATCGGCAGCGGGCGAAAGAGACAAAGAGAATGAAAAGAAAAGAAAAATAGGAGAGCAAGTGTGTTCTCTCTCCTCCGTCTCCCTCTCGCCGTGTTCGCTCTTCGCCATAAGACTTCGTCTCGGTTCCACAAACTCTTCCACTCACAGAACTCGCTCGCTCCGGCGCTCAGCTTCAGATTTATGCGTCCCGCCTTGCAGCGCTGATATCCGAGAACTCACGGGCCGCTCTGCTCGTAATGAAAGAAATAAATTTACTCTCTCTGGTGCCCGGGGGATCGGGACTCCCGGTCGCACACGTGGGAGAGAGAGAGAGAGAGGGAGAGCCTGACCGTGCAAGAGCTGAAAGTCTCCTCCTTTATGTGTTCCTCACGCGAGACATCCATTCCGTTACACGCAAACGCCCACGTTAACCTTTACTACTATCCTGGTGCTTGAGAGGGGCGGTGGACGGGGTGTCAGCGGGAAGTGGAAGGACAAAGGGAAGCAAGTTATGAAAGTTGGCCAGACTGGGGAAGCGCGGCGCTCGGGTACCCAGGAGGGAAGACGACGTTGGTAATAATGGTAAGTGACGGGGTGATTTAGAAACGCGGTGCTCGCGATTGCGTGAGTACGTGTGATTCTACAAACATGTTTATTAAAGCGGTATGGAAACTCAACGATATTTACAAATCGTATTTACATTTCAGAACGACGTATCGTAATACCTCTATACCTCGGTAGGGTACTATTTTCTTTTATATATATATATATATAGTTCCTCTTGTTTCCTCTCGGACAACGCAAAGCGTCGTTACGCGCCCCTGTAGACTCTCCGTCTTAGTGCAGCCACAAATATTCTACCCCATTAATATGAATAGCACCAGACATTTTATTAAGGGCTTTTTAAATAGTGATGCACACATTTTTTTTTTATCCTGAACAAAATTGTTCATTAAACAATTCTTTATTTTATACGTTTCAAGATACCTTTGTCCCCGTTGTATTTTATGTTTAACCCTCGTTTCTTTTTTCCCCTTCTCAATTCACATCGCTTTCAGTCTCCCGTCGAGATACGGTTTTCCCAATAAATTAGACTGTAAAACTTTTTTCTTGCAATCGACAGCGTGTAATAATATTTTTGTCTTGCCCTCTTCAAAGAGAACATTTTATATCACAGTTACATTATGGACATTGAACGCGTTTGCCCCTCGCGAACGAATTCTCTTTCGTGCACGGCGAGCCTATGGAAATGATCGAATGCAAAATCAGCGTTAACCACTCGAAACGCCAGCTGAAGCGGGGCGAGTGTGTCCAACCCAATGATTACGAGGCGTCATCCGATGACTCCTTAAGCTCGCAGCGACTGCCCGGCGCGTTCGTCGCGCCAACAAGGGAATAACAATAGTAGGACTCCGACAGTTCTGACAGCAGCACGAGATTGCTTGATAATTTATATCGAGTGGACAATCGTGAAACGTAGTCGTTCAATAATACCCGACCGTAAATCGATCAAATTTTAATAGGCGTATAATTTCGAGTTACCGCTCTCTCCCTCGAGCCGACAGCTCACTCCGACCCTCAGCCGATTTAAAACAGCAATAATAATAATAATATAAACTTTAATAATATTTAATTTATGCATTCTTTTAAATAATTTCTATATTACAAACAGCGCATGCGACGCGCCAAATATTTACAGTACAGTCCCAAAGAAGCCTTCGTCCTCTCGTCTCACAAGTTTTCATAACCCACGTGTCACGTCCTGGGGTCCTTAAGGATGAACGGCAGCACCGATCCGTTGACCGTAGATTGCATATGGGGAGTAGTATGGACCCAGCGCGTTAAATGCGCTGTAGGGAGACGCAGCCAAGGATGCTGGCAACGGTCCTGTGGGTGGTTTACCATAGGGATGATATCTGGCACTCAGCGGGCTGAGGGACGGTGCTGGATAAGATCCGCCAGCTGCGCGATGAAGGGCCGCCGAAGGTGATAACAGTGGGTGAGGATGGGGACTGCCCAGTAACGCCGATGTCGCGTGGTCGTTGCTGCCAAGGCTCGTGTGACTTCGAAGATGCTGCAGGAGCTCCTCGGAGGTGGTGAATCTCTTCCCGCAGTAGGATTCGCCGGCGATCCAATTACAGACGTAGGGTCGGCCACCGGCAAGGGACGAAGGGTACGATAAGGATGGTGGCGGCATCGGTCCCAAGGATGATAAGGCCATCGCCAATCCGTATTTCTGATGGTCGCACTGGGTGCATCCGCTGGGGCATGATCCTGCGCCCATCATCATCTGAGCATTGTGCATACTGTACTGACAGCCCGTGCAATACGGATCCTTACAGACGGGAACGAGCGCCTCACCGCCGGCTGGTGTTTTCACACGAGCGTAGCTCAGGTAAGGACTTCCGGTAGCTGCCGAAGCGGAAGGCGGATATCCAAGAAGAGCAGCCGCGGCTGCATGGTGATGAGAGAATGGCGAAGCGCCAGCAAACGGTGGTCTGAATGCAGGATTCTCGGCCAGTCCTGGCGGACAGCACAAAGGATTACCGCCGAATCCTGACAGAGCGGCACCGGGCTTATATCCGGCCAACGCGGATTCCTTGGTATGTCCTGATAGAATTTCCATTCCGGATCGGATAATGGGACTCGCGCCATTGTTATTTCTTGGGGAATCGTTCGTCTTTTCCCGATCCGCTGGTGTCTTGCGGTCTGCCGATGGGGTTCCGCTTGCGTTGTTTACCGCCGGCGATGCGGATTTCCTTCCGAGCGGTGTACGACTTCCCGATGACTTTTTCTCGACGTTATTGTTCTCACTCGCACTCACACTATCCTGCCCACTGACACTGTGCACACTAGCCTTGGACGTAGGGCGTCCGTCGTCCTGAGTCTTCTTCGTGAATACGTTTGTTTCGTATGGCTTGAACGCCAGCGGCTTCGCTTCCGACGGACTGCAACGCGTGCGATCCATCTTGGCTGCAGGCGGCGATCTAGCGTTTGACGAAACGATTCCCTTCGGTGGCTTTTCCAGGGGCGAGATCAGAGGCTTCGTCGGGGAATCCGCACCGATTTGGCTGCATGTCTGGGCTAGTAACGCCAGTGGACTCTTTTTCGCATCCAACTGTAAAATAAATAAATTCGAACCATGTACTCGCGTGAAAATACAAAAGGACGATTGGAAGTTACGCTGTTTGCGAAAACTTAAATAATATGTAACAATAATTAAATTTAGCTGTACTTGAACTGTAGTAAAAGTACCGTTAAGAAAAACTAAAGAAAAAGAACCAATAAAGCTTTTCGATAAAAGCTCTCCGTATTGCGTACAGACTCGTGACTCTTTTTCGATATCGCGAGAATTCTTTCCCGGAGTAAATAAAAAATCGTCTCTCAGAATGCTCAAATCTCTCCTGAATACTAACCGTAGTTGGAAGCGGAGAAAGATAATCCGGTTGTAAGTACTGATTGTGTCCAGTGGTCAGCATACCGCCTTCCTCAAGTACAACCATTTGTTCTCGCACTATGTTCTCTTGACGCACTCAAAAAAAAAAGAATGTTGCACAACACGTAAAAAATATTTAAATATCCTCGGACAAGATAACAAACGTTTATTTATCGTCAAGCCGAAAATAATCGGCACTCCCTCCCGTTAATAAACACACGGTTAGATTTTCGTTGGAACGACACGTACGCTTTGAAATCCAGGAAAATAGTGACGGTACGTACGAACTTCTCGGGACGCGAGACCGAGCGCGAATGCAGCGCCATCTGCTCAACCTATTCCCCCACCACCGAGGCTAACCAAGCAAGCCTGTCATCCCCACCACCAAGTATCGCTCCAGTGGGGGAAACGTGGCAGAGTTTCGAGGGTCTCTGGTGTGGGAAGGCATTCTAATTCAACACGCCACCCATGATGTTGGCCCGACGATGACAGCTCCCATCCCGGCTTTGATATTTCACCGCTTTTACAGCCCTAGCCCTCCTTACAGCTTCCCTACCTCTCGCTCTCTCGCTCTATCGCTATAGAAGACCAACCGACCTAACCGCACCACCACCACGTAGAAGAGTCCCTGCGCTACGGCAACCCGATATTTTATACCGTGAAACCTGTCTGTCTCTTCAGTCGGCCCCGCTTAATAAGCAGCTTTCAAAATAGAAATGTAATGGCCTCGGGGGGTTGCAGGGTGTAGGATGTCGAGTGATTGATTGCTCACAGGGCGACTTACAGACTGCCTCGAGTAACGAATGACAGCCACTTAGCCGCTGTTTGCCTACAATTTCGTAAAAGCGTTTTAATCGTCGCGGGGACTCGGTTGTCCGTGACTTCCGATTTTTATTCACTAATTTCAATTACACCAAACCGCGTGGCACTTCCCAACTATACCGACCAGACTACTAGGCTTGACATCGACCATACGAGATACCGGTACAAGAAAAAATTCCTTTTCACTCGCTGCTACCTCACAGTCTCGAATGGCCCGTGAAGTCGAACTACCTTCCGCATTTCCCACGTGGCAATAAATAAAGTTAAGTAAAAAGGACGAAATCCGAGGCTCGCGGCGTCTGTGCTCTTTCTCCTTGTCTCAATGCCTGGAACGAGAGTCCGTTCCTTCGTGTTAATTAATTTAAGTCAATTTATAAAGCTCGCCACTAGAGGTAATCGGTACGGTAGGGATAAATTAGCGACGCGTACTCGCACGTAAGCATCCGGACAGTACTTAGCACTGGTATTGAAAAAAAAAAAACTTGAATTTTATACCGACTGGAATTTTAACGTCGCGAATCTCGGCAGTTATGCAATTATTGCCATTCCGCTGGAGTCTCTAACCCAACCGCCGCTGGATACGTTGGGATCGATGAAGCAACTATGTTACAAGCTAATTATCAGGAATTATGATTCCATCCATTTCAGTGGCGCGCGCAGTGCCTCGTGTCTACGGTAAACAATAATTAGCCTGAGTGTATCTGCTGTCAGGGATAATACAACTGGGAAGTGTACACGGATGAGAAGTTCCAAGTGACGTGGGTTGTACTAGGTGGATTCGTGTTATCGTTACTCCTAACGGGTAAGGTTGGTAATGCGTTTACATTGTATTTACCGGTACCCCCATTTCCGGCGAAAGATAACGGGCGCTCGGTTTTTCGTCGAAAACTCATAGTTTTCGCCAAACCAATCATTTCACCAGGATCATTATGAATTTTTACCGATATTGGAAAAGTGCACTGGGTCCACGACTACGAAGGACTCAACGAAAGCATGGCGCCGACTGTCTAACTACCCTAACGCCCGACTCTCTGACGTTTCTGACGCTGACGGATGAGTTTACAGCTAATGTAGTACGCTTTGAAGTTTGCCGCCGGCGGGTCAGCATTTTGAGGAGACTACTATAAATGTCAGTTCCTAAGGCCGACAAAGGGCCGGCTGTACTATTGACAGAGACACGATTGTAAACAACGAGTCTCGCGGCCGTACATTAAAATTAATTGGTTTGACGATCATAGGTCAATTTTAATACGTCGCTGATCATTATCAGACCTCTTGATGTATGCTAATTATTTGCCTAAGTGCCTTGGCTAATTAAGGTATCCCGTTAGAGTCGATACGGTGTAATTTTTGTAGAAAAATTTTATAAAAAAAATTTTTTCATTTTAAAAATTTATTTCTTTTCTTTTAAACACATTTTGCTATTTTTTTCATTTTTCGAATATGTTTTTAGTTTACCGTTTTTTTTTCCCCCCTTTATATCTGCTTTTGCTAATTAGCTTAAGAGCATCGTTAAATCTTGTCTTGGACGTATTTTCGAAAAACAGTCTCGAATGACTCATAGAGTAAATCACAAGCGCTATCGACAATTCACTGTTACAAAATTCACTTTCAAAACGATAGCTGCTGTAATAAATGGTTATGGTCTTTTCCCCTTGGTAGTCGTACTATTGCAGCCTAGGGTTCCGCTCAGTTTGTTGTGACAAGGTAATAATTTTGCAGACCATTGTCAGGCGGGATTAGGACACAGGGGACTCGGGGAAACGAGCACGGGGAGCAAAGGGGCGTCGCGACGAAAATTTAACAACTTCGTCGTAAAGTGTTAATTGGTACGAGGGTAGGTCTGGAGCGTAATCAGCAGGGGCACTATCGTGAATTAAGGACGTACCCAATAAAACGACTCCGTTTTTCGAAATAGGTGAAAAGATCGTAAAATAAAATACTGCAACTCTCTGTGTCCCGAAAAGAAAGTAATACGGTAGCTAGGAAGATTCCAAGCACCGTTCCCCGTGTTGCTTATGGAGAAATATAATTTTCTTAAAATAAATAAATAAACGAGCGACGATATACGATTTTCGACTATAATCCACAGTAAAGGAAAATTTAACTCGGGTAATTTATTCAAATTGTCCATCCTGCGTATTTGAAGCCATTCAAATTTCCCGCCGTCGTTCCCATTCGTTAGTTCAAACCACCTCGTATACTTTCCCCTTAAATATCACGACATGCCAATAGACAAATCTTATTGTTCGAGCGACAAAAGGGTTTCCAAAGTGCTCCATTAGGGCCGGGAGTACATCTATATACATATATACACTTGGTGCTAACGGAATTGTCCTGCTCGGAGTGCATTCGAGCGAACAAGTTGCGATTACATTGAATTCGTGTGAACGACGACAATGGCGACGAACGTTTATCGTATCTGGTTGCGTTCTATACGGCTGCGACAATGGATGCTAGGAGGACTGGATAAAAGTGTAAAAATGCTGACAAGCGGATAATAGAGGAGGCAGTCAGTCACTTTGAGAGATGGCGTGGAACAGGAGGGAGGCTGTGCGCTGAACCGTGAAAGGGAAAAAGATCGATGGACGCAAACGCGGTTAGCGTGCAGAAAAGAGAAACAGAATTTGCGCCGGGTAATAAATCATAGCGTTCTCCATTTCTCCTGTTCCAATACTCTGAACTTTGTGCGGAATTCCATGAGGTACCTATACTTCATATATAGTATAGGTATACCTGCGACTATACTTCGAGCCGCATCCATATTATAGTATACGGACGGTACAAGTAAAAGGTATATATAATATACACAAAACCGGTAGCGCCCTGTTGTCTTTTTTTTTTCAAAAAATTTTCCCTTTCTACCGCCACAGAAAATTTTCCAAAATTCGATCGTCATTTGGTTCTCGTTGGCCCCTCATATTTTACTGACTATATCTACCGAGTGAAAAAAAAAGTGTGCTCTTAAATTCTTTTGACACACAACACGCATTATAAGTAATTAATGGTATCGTGACGTACGACGATTTTTATCATGCTCTCGCGTAATCTTGTTAATCTCTTAACTGACTTCAGACACTTATAAATTACGTTAACGCGTAAATATTTTTCCGACGTGATTTAGAAGGAATTTCGAGCAAGTAATATAATAATATGACAGATAATAAATTTATTAAGTTCCACGTGTAAATAGGTAGAGATGACTTATTAGAGGAGAGATATAAATAATTCGTTGTTTTTTTTTTATCTTAGAATTCAGCGAAGTCATCCAACGAAAATAATTCGTATTTTAATCGCGATTGGAAGTAACCTAAAAAAATATTTTTCCTGACCTCCTCCCGACCCCCTTGACCCAGGTCGATATTTATTGTACAAATCGACTGATCATTGCGAATGTTTCTCTTGTCGTGTATATTAATTGGATAATTTGATAAATAAATTCGTCACTGATTCGTTGGGACGAAATAAAATAATTTAAACGGAGAATGAAGTCATGCAAATTTATTTATCATATTAGTCTCTGTCATCTTTAATTTTTCTTGACCTTTCCCAATAACGTATTATATCCCTAACGACGGGACGTCCTAATCCATTTTAACCCGAGTCATTGTTCCTAATCCATTTCGTCGTTAAGCATAACGTCCTCGCGAATAGCATTGCTGAAATTGCGACATCCATTAACTTTGATTGATATACGGCTTGGCAAATTAGTTAAAGTCGTCCATCGACCATAATTCATAGCAACGGCAAAGGCACCAGACACAATGGAATTCATTGGTATAGACGAGAAACAAGTTGAATGCTCGAAATACAAGAACAATATCTCGTTCGTGATAAACCTCAACCGATCTTCGTATTGAATCAATTTTCACTTACCAGTCATAAGTGAGTTAATGCCGATCGATAAAAATACCCACGTGTCCACCGTAAAGCCATTGTACGTACCGCATAGATTAGAATACGTACATTATAGATATACATATGCGTATATAGAGCAGTATAAAAATTCATAGTTAATATAAGGAAGGAACGAAAGAGGAATATTTAAAAATCCCCCAAAAAATTGGAAATAAAATAAAGGAAGGGAATGAAAAAAAAAAATAAAATAAAAAGTGTCGCGAAACGTCGATCCTACTTAAAACGGAAAAGAGGGCTTTGCCGCAGGTTACCGGAGTAGCTTTTGTATTTGTCCAATACGAAGTCACGTATCGAATATATTATCGGATGGGGGATACAGTCTACGCATGTGAAGGCTGAAAAGCAGGCAGCCAGTCAGGCATAGCAGAGGCATATATATGTATATACACGCCATATATGTATATACCTAGGCAAGGAGGCAAGCGGGCTGGCGAGCGACTATATTGATTGTGTAGCCGGCTGACAGCGACAGTGACATATGTCACCGAGGCTTCTCGTTATCGCTGATTTAAACATGAGGCAGTGAGATCCTCGTCTAGCTATGCTACACTGTACCAGCGAGGCACGGTATACGTATTTCTGCCTATGATTCCATTACTATTATTTCCGATAGCACAGACATCCGATGGACAATTCGATCACGAGTACGAATCTACATACGGTACACGTATGGGGAGCGAGTGATGTACATACAGATATAGCGAGTTAGGAAGGAGTCATTGAAACGAAGAATTTGACATAGAAAGTTTTTGCTTGGATTTTTTTTGTCGATTTACCCTGTTATTTTTTTTATTGACAGACAAAATTCATAATGGTATATATATCGATCATTGATCTGTCATCCGTTTAAGTTCTTCATCGATCTTTATAATGCGACCATTCCGATGCTCTGGTCAATCGATAATGGACTAAGATAAATATCCGAGAACGATCGGACGTTCTCTCGCTTCATCCTGGAGGAATCAATCACGTTTTATTTGATTCCATTTGACGTATTTTACTTTAGTCATTAGATACGAGAGGGATGAAGGATTTGAATTAATATATAATTGGGTTAGGTTATGTGTTTTCGGATGAATAGTTAGTCAGTATATTCGGTAGAGGCCGGTTAAGGCCGGAGTTAATGTGAATTCAAAAAGTCGGCGGGAAAGGCACGCGAACGTTTGGCGGGAGGTTTGAAATGGAAAATTTGTCGGTCGATGAAACTAATAGGAATTCCTGCAGTCGGGCAGGTATGGTTAAGTGGGAAGATCGTGTAGATTCGTAATTGGTTATGGGGAGGAACGGGCAAGGTCGAGCTGTGGCGTAAGCATTTTGTAAGTTCGTGTCGCGTCTAACAAGAAAAGAAAAAAAAAAAAAAAGAAAATAAAGTGCCCACCCGAAAATAACTTGTAGCCATAGAGCAAATTTACCGTAGGCCGAAGCTCACGGTCCCTGAGCCTCTCTACCCCGCGTACCCCTGGGATCATATTTTACGTTTTAATCTCTCCATTGTTCCAGGTATAACGGAGTTTAGGAGGAAAAATAATGCCTACCACGAAACACGCAAAGCTGTCGCTCGTAAAACACCCATGTCGGCCCGGGCAAGCAGCGCCCGTGCACGACCTGCATTTTTATGTGACCACGCCAGATCCGCGTACAGATTTTCTTGAAAACTAAAAATATGTCGTTTCGATGCTGTAAACAACGTTGGCGCAAGTATTCCTCCACGAAATCGATACCATCTCCGTGCGTAACTCGAAGACCTTTTATGCGACTTTCACCACGTATACAACAAATCACCCAGGTCGCATTAAGGATGCCCGCACTTCTCACGGCCCTGGCTTCGTGCTGTTCTCATAGAGATTCCCGGCGACTTTTGACGGGATGAGACCAGGGAGACTCAGGGACACGCAAGTCCAG